AAATTCAGCATTTATAAAACCCTGTAAAAGTCGAGGGTATCGACAAGGTTTTAGAATGTGTATAAGTACCTTTAGGTGTTGTGGTTCTTCAGTGATGTCATCCATTACTCAAAATCACGAATCCGAGCCCCTGTGAACGTCGTCTGCTAGCGATGCTAATCTGACCGATTAGGCTTGGTACTGTTTCAAACGAAATGTCCGTTCAGCGCCGCATCACTTCCAAATACATGTAATCTATCAATGCGCGAAAAACAACTTTAATTTTGAACAAGCAAAATTTATGCAATTATAAACAATTTTTCAACATATACACACTCATATGAAATAAATAATAAAGTTAAGTTTGTGTTCAAAACATTTTATGTGCGTGTGGTTTGCAATGACACAAGGGACTATATTATTTCTTCTGGAAAATTCGGCTGTTCTGGGATTTAAACTTACTGACGTAACTGATATGATAAGCGGGAAATTCAAACGTATATTTGCTAGTTACTATATACAACAAACTAAATAAATGTAAATATAAGCATTGAACTGATACCAGATGCAGTATACAGTCGATATGAATGCAATTTGGGTGACAGATAAATATTCATGTCGCACATGAATATTTATCTGTCACCCAAAATGTATTCATATCGACTGTATACTGCATCTGGTAACAGTTCAATGCTTAAATAATTGTCAACACTATATGATGCCGCGTGTTAACAGTGACGTCACAGTCGCGTCACAGCATGTTGTGAACGTCAATTCGGCAAAAAGAGACTTATCAGAATCAATTGATGCTATTTTGAAGCTTAGCACAAATAAATAAAAGCATGCATAACATGGAAACAATTTTCAGTTGGAGAAAAATAAAAAATATCAAAATAGTATGTGGGACATCGAAGGATTTCATCAGTAACATCGACTTGTAAAAGAACTTAATTGTTTGTGCAAAAAAAAAACACCAATGCAGGCACGGCGCAATGCATGTTGCCGATTTTTGCGAGCCTGTGCGACCGTAAGGATGAAAGTTTTTGAAGCCTTCATATAGCATAGTACCGAGTTCGTCCTGCGATCGTATAGTGTCTTTTCTCCGTTCGTTCAGCGTGCGTCCTGCGTTTGTACCACAAAAAAATGGATACTTAGCCGTAATTATAACTGTAACTCGGTTTTTTTATCGTGTTAATACTTAAATGTGACATCGACTTGCCACTTTTTATGCAAAGCAAAACAGGCAATTAGCAAATCTCATTCTCTAAGAAAATATCACGTGACTTATATTGCTGATATACAAAACATAAACATAAACCTTATAATAAGCTACACCATGTGATAATGTTTTTGAAAATTGATTAACTACTCGCTTTGTTTTGGATAAATAATTGGCAGGTCGATGACACATCTGAGCATTAACACGATATTAATGTAGCCAGGTGTTCAAATACAATATTCAAATCATCGCGCGTAATGCCAGTGTTAAGGAATGTATGTATGTGCCCGTGCAGCACGGACCACCCGTCCAAATCCCAGTCACCGCCGTCTCCCTACTTCACTTTGACTCTACCTCCCGATGGGAACACACGGAACCATCGATAGCACAATCCAGTCACTCTGGATGCTTCTGGTAAGTATGTATGTGTGTAAGTACGAAATAGTATAATTAAAACATAATAATCATTCGTTATATTTCATCAATTGTATATATATCCATTATTTCATAAGTTGAGCGATGCATGAGTGATTATGTACGTTTATTTATTATATAGGTTTATTTGTCCACGACAAGAAATAAACATATCCTTAACTGGAACGGCGTGAAGTGTTTTTATTGAGAACCTACGTTACATTTATTTAAACGTTATTACGACATATTCATAGATTATGTCGACATCTTTTAAAAATTATGTCGACATAATTAACTCGAAAGTCGATGGCTGGAATATGGCACCATAAGATCACAAGCACACATAGGATTGTCTTTTGAATGATCAAAATGCAGGTCAAAATTTAAGCTGTCCAGCTGTCGTATGATTCTTAACCGACATGACAATCAGACATTATCGAGCTCTACATCAGCCGATGAAACGTTGATGTCAGTATATTGCGTTCGATCTCCGGAAAGGTTCACGGCATCAAATGATCTGTTTCACCAGTCCCTATGAATAAATATGTATTTATTGATATAGACGAATCCCTAATAGCCCTAAATAATTCCCATAAACTCTCTCTAATGAATCTAAGGTCTGTACAAACTGCGTTCACAATCTCTCCGCAGTCATGATACAAAAGTCTCACATCTATTACAGTACATTATTGATGACAAAACACCTGCATGGTTTGCCTCCAGACTTTTGCCGTTTTTTTATAATTTCCGTTGTATTTTAACGTGTCTGTACATATTGAACTTTTGGGTTTGAGTTGCGATGTTCTCCTTGGGTGTGCACAAGTTTTAATTCATCACCTTGATGTACATGATTGAAGGACTTTGTGATTTCTATGGACTAGACCATTCGCTGCCTATATAAATCCATTCTTTTGCTGACGTCGTTTCGCACTCTGTGAATCCCCCACCACTCAATCAGAGACTGTAGACTTGCTCAAGTTCATGCCTGATACTTAGTATAACTGTATTTTCATTGACTATTCACACTGCTCATTTTCTTACTCAAAGTTGCAGTTGTGCTCTTACGAAATTTTCAGAAATATTTATTAACTGTTAGGAGCAGAAAACCATGATCAAACCAAAGTCAGTCCGAACGGTGAAAAGCCCGCCAAACTTTTATCAACCATTTCTGGTTAAAATTGCAACTAGAGCCGGTTTGGAATTATCTTGACTTATATAAGCTCCTCGCTATATGTATTCTGTTCGTCATAAATGCGTGTAATATTCTTTATTTGTTGCAATACTCCATATCAATGGACAATTATCTTTACATTTGTCTTGGTTTTAAATGTATTCATAAATTTAAGATCTTTAGGTCTCAGTGAATTACTTATTCGCTATTAAATCTGTACACCTCGAGTGACGGAGGCTTCTGGTTCCAAGTGACAACGAATTCCTGTTTGGTGGGATGGACTACTACACACGACGGATGCTTGATAGAAGATGGCGTGGACACCAGTACCCTCCCACGTGACCCGTCAGGTGAAACAAGGTGAACATTTCCAGATCGATATCCACATACATAAACATTGTCATCCCGGTCCAGTCCAATACCTGTAGGATCATTCAGACCAGGATATCTGTACCTGTAGACCTCTACGTCACTGTCCAGTCGTCTACACACTACGTCATTGTTATCTATGTGATACACGGTGGCACTAGAAGTAGACGTGGTGAGGTATGTGTAATCTCCACCTTTCTTTATTGACTTGGTCACCTTCCCATCTACTGTCATAACCTTCACACTATCAGATGTACCGACCAGGATGTTGTCCCCGAGAACTGCTATACCCAATGTTCCATGTGGACAGCTGATCCTGTTGATCAGGGTTAGCTGGCCATTCCTTAGTTTACACTTCAGTATTCCAATTAACTTTACAGTCACAAACACTTCATCCTCGGCACGTCCACGTACTATATCTGTTGGATGTCCATTAATGTTAAATTCTCTTACGTAGGAATACGTGTCATCAAACAGTAGGAGTCTTCTGTTTTTGAAATCTGTCATAAGTAATTCATTGTTGTCAGTAAAGACCCCCCTGTCAACCAAGGTTCAGACACCACTCCGAGTGTTTTACTGTCTACCGTCTTTACACAAGATACCGATCCGGTCCATACATCAATCGCTGCCTTTACTGGAGTTGTCTGGACGGTCAAATACTGCAGTGAACCCGTGAGGTCAGAGGTCGAAGTCGAGTCTGCTAATGTTGAAGCTGAAGGTGTCGAAAGCAAGGTCTCAATCATTGTGCCTATACATACATTCGCGTTCTGAGATACAGCTGATATTGTCGAGGTCACGTCAACATTCCCCAAGGTTGTCATTTTCATGATTTCGTCAATTATTGTTCCTAACTCGAGTGTGATGTCAAATCTATTTGGTTGTTTCTTGGTGTTTTGATCCATACGACGGTAATGTCCTGATATTTGATTTGTTGTTTGTTCTCTTATGAAAAACTTGTGACGTTCTGATATCTGTTGATCTAAATGTGACATCAATAGATGTGAATTTTCCGCATTGGTGTGGAATGTGTTGACACACATCCGTCGAGCAGATATATTTTGCCTGACCGCTTTGAACTTATCCGCGAGGTCTGACTGAAATGTTGCGTTGAGGTTATCAAGCTTANTGACGTTCTGATATCTGTTGATCTAAATGTGACATCAATAGATGTGAATTTTCCGCATTGGTGTGGAATGTGTTGACACACATCCGTCGAGCAGATATCTTTTTCCTGAGTGCTTTGCACTTATCCGCGAGGTCTGACTGGTATGTTGCGTTGAGGTTATCAAGCTTATCTTTAGCTTGCTGTATCCTGTTCGTCATTTCCGCCGACACTTCCTTTTCTGTGGAGGTAAGCAGGGTCACCCCCAAATCGTCATCGTCTAGCATCTTCTTAGTTTCCTCTCTCAGCTCCTTCCATTCTGTCTCCCTGGTGTGTTGTCCGGCCTTGGTCTTCCTGACCAAATCCTCTATTGGTTTAACATTGTTACAGTGCCTGTGTGACACCGACACACAGACACCACAACACATGACACTGTGGTCTACACAATAGACATCCAACTGCTTTCCATCGTGACTGGGGCAGATTTCGTTGACCATAACATCGCAGATTCCTCCGACAGTAGTGGAAACGGAGACAAGCCGATGGTTTGATGATGGCTTGCTCCGCTCATGATATATTCTGCATTGTTTGCAGAGCTTTTCACCACAGTCTGTACACCAGACCTCGGCTCGATTTGATTCTTTGCCTCGTTGACATGGTGCACAGAGATGAACATCAGACGTCTCTGCTGTTATAGGGTTAAGGTACAAATTATTTATAGGGAAACATTCCGCCCATGTACTTACATCCGCACTGACGTCACTAGGAGCACTCGGTGCATCGCAGACCGGACACGGGAAGTAGTGCCGATCCTCGTCTGCTGTGACGTGTTCCGCTTCGATGTATGACGTCAGACATCGGTAGCAGAAGGTATGACCACAGGGCAGCTTCCTCGGATCTTTGTAAGGTGTCGTACAAATCAAGCATCTGTATTCTGGTATCGGGGCAGCTTCTGCCATGTCCGTAATGGATAGTAATATGCGGTTTTCTCTGTAATGTACAAAAGAAGTATGAAGCTACATATTTTCAATATATTTTCGCTATCATACATCGTGAGATATGGTCATAACAGCCGATTTTCGGAATTATGTAAAAGTTAATAATGTAAGCAGGAAAGCTTATGATGTGACACAATCCGCTGCTCAATTATGTATTCATACAAAATATACATTGTTGCAATGTATACATATATCAATGACGTCACGTTGTTGACAGCATTCCTGAGCCTGTTGGCATGTCGACTGTATATATTTTATGATGCTCACAATTGTAATTTTGTGTGATAATGTAACTAATATAAATCAAAATCGAAAACAAATGCAGTTTTACGATAATGCTCGATATACGGCAAATTCGCTAAAAAATGCCTTTCATTCTTTTCGGTGACCAATATTCATAGTCGCGATCTCCTGTCATGGTAACGTGAGGACGATATATTTCTAGAGCCCATCAAGTTAAATCTATTGAAATAACCAGATATATGCAAAACAAATTATACATATAGGTGAGGAATCTACTTGAGAGTTCCAAATATTCGGTGCAGCATTAATTTATGCCTAGCGCACCTGATAGACCGATATACTTAATAAATTATTAAGCAAAAGGAGCGTGAAAAAGAACGGCAAGACCGGGACTCGAACCGAGAGTTCAGAACTCTAGATACACGATAGCGTATAACACCTTTCATTGGTATATTTAGCTAGCACCAAATGTAATAGGAGAGGAAACTGCCAGACTCGAACTCGAATTTGGGACCTCCGAACACTCTTTCCAATATGAAATGATCGCTTACGATCATCTCAGTCCAGGTCCGCTACCTTTTGATCTAAGATGTTTCGGACAACTTAATGAAAAAATCAACTAATTTTACACTTCCCACAATATAGTTATATCCATTTATATATTGAGCTAATCGACGGCTAATTAGTCCTTGCTTACAATATTGGTGATGATTATTTTGATCAATTTTCAAAAAATAAAAAAGGTTGTTCGTGTAACTTCCCTTTTGTTTAATCCAAATAACACGCACTGGGTGATTACAAAAAAAAACACGTTTTAACTCTACTATGTTCTGTCACATCAGGATTAGCATTAAGGTACACCGCATGTTGGCTGCTATGAAGCTGGTGGTACTATTCGTACAATTATGTTTGAAACGGGAGGATGACATTTACCCCCAATACGTATTCTACAATACTTAACTAATAGCACTGTCAATGTCAGGCACACATACCACACCGTAAATATAAGCATCATAATGTACATAATCGATAGCTTGAATAGAAAACCTCAATCATAGGAATTCTACCTATATCATTGAATATAAACAAGAGTGATTAATATAAATTAAAATAACTTGTTTCATAATTGTTGTAAAATAAATAAAGTTCATATTTATATACCGTATGATTCTGTTACTTTTCCAGGGTAGGTAACTCATCAAATATTTATAATTCCATTGTTGTAAACTTTATTACGATACTTTACTAATAGCACGTGTCCAGATACAACTAGCACGTAAACACATACACCATTAGTCTGATGTGTCATATTACAGCATGTTCACCTTTGTGTGTATGCATGTTTAACACGTTACATTACCACATATGACATGATACACACATTTACGATAGCATAATTACCGTTACTACTACATAATGTACATCTATATATATGTGTAGTATAATACATTGTAAGATCGGTGACAAGCAAAACTTTAATGACAAGTACGTACGTGTTTGCATTATGATCAGCGTAAGGCACACATGCCACACCGTCAGTTTAAGCTTCAAGATGTATATGATCGATTTTTTTTATAGAAACCCTCAATCAAAGGAATTCTACCTACATCATTGAATATATACCGTTTGTAACGTCAAAACACTTTGTCCTGACTTAATGTTCAAGGGGAAGTAACTCGTCAAATAGTAATAATTACATTGATGTAAATTTTCACGTAAATATCGACTTACCAATTAAATTATGTATTTTGCGAAATTAATCAATGCAATGAACATATTTACATGTTTGAATGGCAATGAAAACATCATTAACAGCAAGAATTCATTAAAAAGGTCACCTTGTTGGCAGCTGACGTCACGATATCGGTAACAATTTCGTTTTTTGTTGTCTTCGAATGTCTGTGAATGAAATTTGATGTCGGCATTTCCTTGTTGCCATTGGCAATCCAGGAAACTGTTAAAGAAAGAAAAAAAAGATTCGTTATTTTTCTTTTGTCAAATGGGAATATAATTTCTGTGCCATGGCCCTTCCTGACATTGGATTTTCATTTTACTTTTTATCTTCTATAGGTTGTTAATGCAGTCGATTGTGAGGTATATGTATTCTTTGAAATTCTTCATGTTACACAGAAAACCATTTAAACTACCGAGATCCCTCAGCGATGAAGTCCCTTGATTATTTAAGAAACGTTGATATTTTCATGTTACTTGATTAGAATGAATTGTTAAAACCAATGTATTTTGTAAGCAGGTAATGAAGCATTGATGTTTGTATCTTACTAATACCACATAACCTTAGACAGACTCTCAGTTTGTATTAATCCTAAAATTGCAGAATCGAAACATATATAATGAAATATATTACTGTGGAGTGTATAGGTGTAACTAGACAATGATGTTGTACATATATGTAGTTAAATTGTACATGTGTGGATATACATGTTATATAGTTATACTGGTGTACATAAATATATAGGTAAATTGTACATGTGTGTGCATAAATGTATTAAAATGATACTGGTGTACATATATATAGTTAAATTATAAGTGGCTGCACATACATATTACATGACTTTACTTGAGAATATGTGTTTCGTAAAATTGTACATGTGTATACATACATGTTATTAAACAATACTTTGTGGACATTCATGTAGTTAGACTGTACATTTGATTACATACATGTGATATATTAACACTGGTGAAAATATTTGTAGTTAAATAGTACATGTGTATGCATGCATGTTATATTGGCATACTGGAGAACACATATGTAGTTAAATTGTACATTTGTGTACATTCACGTTATATAACTATAATTGTGTATATATTTGTAGTTAAATTAAACAAGTGTGTACATACAACATGTATACTTATACTGGTGTACTTATATATAGTTAAATTGTACATGTATGTACATACATGATATATGACTTTACTCGACAACATGTGTTTCGTAAAATTGTACAGTGTATACAAACATGTTATTAAACAATACTGGTGTACATATCTGTAGTTAAATTGTACAAGTATGTACATAAAAGTATTAAAAGAATACTGGTGTACATATATGTAGTTAAATTGTACAAGTATGTACATTAAAATATTAAAACAATACTGGTGTACATATATGTAGTTAAATTATACAAGTATGTACATAAAAGTATAAAAACAATACGGGTGTACATATATGTAGTTAAATTGTACAAGTATGTACATAAAAGTATTAAAATGATACGTGTGTACATATATTCAGTTACCTTGTACATTTGAGTGCATACATGTTATATAATAACACTGGTGTAGATATTTGTAGTTAAATTGTACATGTGTATGCATACATGTTATATGAATATACTTAAGAACATGTATGAAGTTAAATTGTACATATTTGTACGTACATGTTATATGACCATACTGGGAAACATATATATAGTTAAATTGTACATATGTGCACATAAACGTTATATAACTATAGTTGTGTATATATTTTAAAATTGTACATTGTATTTATAGCTGTTTTATAACTATACTAGGGTATATATGTGTAGTTTTATTTTACATGTTTGGACATATATGTTATATAACTATCCTGGCGAACAAACATAGTCTGCTTTATTATTTGTTGTGATATGTACGTGTCCACGTTTCTGTCTTGAAAAGGAGTGCAGATTGCCATGGAAACTAGACAAATTCGATTTCCTTTGTCTACACTGTCGTTAATACTTCTTTGCTTATATACTGGTGTACAATAATATATCTAGCTACATATACAGACGTGTGTACATATATGCACCTTATTATACTTGTGTTTCCATACACACAACAACATTGTACTGGTGTGTCTATCTGGGTAACATATTTGTACTGGTTGAACTTGTACAGATGTGTAATCATGTGCATATATATGTTACAAAGTTTACAGGTTTTGTTTTGGATTTTTTCCAGCGATTCGATAAAATATAATTCATACATTTAGACAAAACTTAATATTTTGTTCCAACTTTCGGTTTGTGTAAACATACCATTGATTTCAAATTCCTTTCAAATTAATCGAAACAAGATACATATTTACAAGTGTGAATGGTAACGAAAACATCATTTACCATACGAATATTTAGTAACATACCTGTTTCGCTGTTTTATTGGTGATATATTCAATGTTTAGGTGAGAAAGTGATCTTATGTCTTGGGCGTTTCCTGGTTACCATGGACAATACGGACGATAACTCTAAACTTTCTATATGTGTCACTTTGTTATACTGCATTTATATGTGATGTCTGCTGATACGATTATAAATGCACCTGAAGTCCCGCATTCTACATATTTTTACCCATACACCCAATACCTTACATTTTCTGTACATTCTTTTGTTTTGTTCGTTCTTACAATAAGTGTTTAAATACATACAAATTAAAAGATGCACTTATTTTAAATATGCGTTTTAGAGTGGTAAATTTGTTTTGGAATTATCCCAGTAAAACTAAATTCCTATCATAATTTTTTTTTTTTGACAAAATGGCAAATTGTCAAAGAGTTTGGGCAACAGGCACAGCCTATGTAAGCTCTCTTCATAGAAATAATCCGCAGGTGACAACACATGTACATATAAATATATTATAATTATTCATTTCAGCAGCCACTTAATTAATTGTGAATGTACGTAAGGCTTATTAACGATTATTTTGAATGAGAACTTTATTGTGAATTGAAACTTACAATAAACATATATACATAGATCAGCAGCTCCACCATATAAATATAAGATTTATTTCTAGAATTAAGAGAAAATTGTTTTTCTCAATAGATAATGCTTGGCCAGCAAGATTGCACATTTTGTAGACCACACAGTCCATGGTTATAAATAAACCCAGAAAAAAATGGCCACTGGCTGACAGATTAAACACTGAACTATACTGAACTATATATACTACTGTAGCAAACAAGAATTTTATTTTTTGTATTTTCCATTTAATATGTAATAAAAGTAGTTATAATAATTCGGAGCTGCACAAGTATCAATAACATAAGAGTTGGAGCTCAAAACCCATATACAAAGTTGTAATACATGCTATTGATATAACAAACCAGATAACTTAACTTCAGGAAATCCTCTAGTGTTTTTGTTATACAAAGATACGCCGGGTTATTGAGCTGTTTACTTCATCATCACACAGCATATAGCCATGCCATACTACGCATAAATTACATAATAATAATATACAATATTTGATAAAGCGCCCTATCGCGCTAGAATAAGTCACTATAAAGCATTTAACAGTACATAGATATACAATTTGTACAATCAATAAAATTAAGAATATACATTAATCAGTACATTTTTTTGGGAATTCGCAGGAGTTGTCTCAACAGGTGCTTACTACTAGTTCATTGCCTCCTGACTAATATCTCCCTATGTGTGTGTATGCCTGAGTGTGTGCTGAAGATGTATTGTGTTCTGTTACAATGATCATGAAGTCTATAACTCTGAATGTTTTCTCTTAATAAATCTTTTTGTCTGTAACAAATAAAGGGCAGTTGAAATAATATTAGCATAATATACTAATGAGCGGATATAAGATAAATACAACTTAGCTTGTGAATTTCTTATTAATCTTCATTTCATGGACCTAAGTAAATTAATGCTTTTATAGACTTTGTCATGAAACCCTCATTAGCGTATCAATATTTTATATAAATATTTATTCGTATATTTTGAATACGTTTTTGGCGAATTTTATGACTACGTCCACACATAAAACACAATTAGTCATTGATATAAGTAAACCTAATTTGTTCCTTAAACAATAATATTTTAAATTTGTTTTAAATAGCAATATCCTGAATGTTAATTTCAATTAGTGACTATATGTAAGTGATATTAAATGTAAAACATTGTTAGGACCCTGTACTAAGTAAGAGGCATTATCGGTAAGAACATGCTGTCCGAGATCGAGTAATATAAAGATAGGATCTTATTTTGCCCCAACGTCAGTTTTTCAGCAGCCATGCTATTTTATCAAGATATCCGATACTTGTCTGTTGTATCTGTACATGTGTCAATATCCGATATTACTCTAATGCATGTATATTTCCTAAGAAAAGGTGAATTGAATATATTTAGGTATTTATACAGTATTAACATAATACGTTAAAATGGGTGAGGGGGGTACCCTAGTCCTGATTGAATATTTTGAGGCTATTACGCAATTGTTACTCCATTTCGGAAGTGAAATAGTTCCGAATAGGGTCGTCAGGTTTTGATTGTATGATAATATTTATAGTAATGTAGCATATCATGGTCGCTCGTATCGTCACTAGCCAAGTGTTCGCTTCTTAAGTACTGTTTTCGTTTTTGTTTCGCGGACCTAAGTCTTTGCTTTTGGAATACTGCGCATGCGCAATACACCTGTGTATTACGCATTGCTCCCAGGGTTCATTGCGTTACGCTCCATTCGCCTATGTAAAAGTCATTACACTTATATCGTATATAGATGGCCGATACCAGTGCCAAAACAATCAGATACAACACAGTTACACACAGCTTGTATGATCCAGTGTAGGAAAAGGATGTTTTCGTTTCAGACAACTTATAATTGTGTTGGATAATTTCTGTATACGATCCCCAAGGGACTCAACCATGAACACCGTTAGTACTCGCCCGCCTGTTAAAATATTAAGAGTGACGCGCAATCAAAACGTATCTCAAAATCAATTATTGTATTGAAATTGAAGTGCGAAGATATCTACAACAAATTTCATCTTTCAACACAAATAACCCAATTAGATATTGGAATCTACCTGATATTGCGACTTACGTGGGAAAACCTCACCGGAAGCAATATTTATTTGATGATTATTTGCGACTATTTGATAGCAAAATACATGACTAAATGTACGCTGCCTTGTTGATGGACAAGAAGCCTAGTTCGATCCTTTGATGAATGTTGCGGCCGCGTAACGATAAAAAAGCGTTTAAGTCGCGTGTCGCTCCTCTGTTATCTTGAAAGGCCAGATATCAACTTGGCGATTGGTTAGTTTTTTTTTAACTGAGACAAATCAAATAGCTTTCTTTGTTTCTTTAAATTTGCTATGACATATTCAAGGGGTACAGAGAACGTGAGTAAGAAATATCGATTTCTGTCAACATTCTACTTGTAGAAAAATACAATAGAAAGTTACAATTCAAGTACCGAAGGCTGTATGACATGTACGTTTCATTATATATATTAACAGGTTTTCATTGTTAAAGTAAAAGTGCAATCAGGAATATGACTAATCAATATAAATGATCCGGTTGACAAAGAAGCATAAAATTGTCTTTGCTAGACAGAAATTTTCACAAATAATTCATATAAGCCAAAATGTTATGAACATCAATAATTACAGACCAACTCAGGGAATTATATTTTCTGCATACCCTAATGCAAGTTAGGGTTTACTGTGAAGAATGTCGGCGTTTATCCTGGATCCTGTCGTCGTTCACTGTTCGGAAGCTTGCTGAGTGTGTTTATGGTGACATTTTGAAATAGGAAGGCGTTACGATACCCGTGAACATGGTACGGGTTTGTTATCTACAAGGAATGTGTTATGGATTTCTGTGGTCTACACGGGAGGCGTGATGGATTTTGACCCGTTATCACGTGAAAAGGTTCAAAATTCATGACGGGAAGTGAGTCATATCTAAATGCTTATGTATTACTTTACTTTGATAACGACTGACCTGGAAATAAATTACCCTTATTTTTATGTGTATAGATAAGACTCGTTGTATTTGATTTAAACTTTTTGTATTGCCAAAATGCAACTGGATTGGGCACAAGCTATAAACGTATATAAAGCCCTTTCCATAGAAAATACAACCAAATAAACAACAAAATTACAAGATGACACACTTAAAGTTCCTTTGCAAATAAGGTAGCTAGATGACAAGTTGTCGCGTATGCGTTCATTCATTCACCCCGCCCCCGCTCACAAACCACATATACACACAGAGATAGAGACGGGAGAGTACGGAATAATAATGTCCACGTAGCTTAATGTAATATAAATGATCTCGGACAATGTGGTTGCTCTTTCTCAATGCAAGCGGAACTAGTGTATAATTATGACTATAGAGGGCTCTTTGAGGCTCGTTGTATAAATCACGTATACAGGGTACGTTAATCACTAGTGGACACAGTTCCAATCATTTTATCTAAAATATTTGCTTTTTAATTTATTTACATTTATTCACGTTTCGTACAAAAAACTGAGCAATGTAGATCTTTTAAATATCATCGATATACTTATATTTACATTTCCACTGCAAGTTCCTCTTTAAGCATTACCAGAAGAAATCGCGTTCAAAGGGCCACCGTCTAACTGTACGGAATGTACTCTCTCCCAGAATATAATACGGTCGACTTTAACTCATCTCTATGAACGCTACACGTCTTTACAAAATTCATGACAAACGTACTTGTACATGTATAACGTTATGATATAAAATTATGATTTTATCATTTTAGTCATCTTGCATTGTATAACACCATGTTTGACTTCATAAATGTGTCATAAATATGGTTATTTTCTTGGTATTGTTAAGTTGAACTAATTTGAAGAAATATATGTAGGTCACAATTAATGTATACATCCGCTATCGATTTTGTTTCCGATGTGGTTTTCCCACTAAAATCGCAATATCAGGAAGGTTCCAATATTTAATGAGGTCCTCTGTGTTGAATGATGAAACCTGTTGTAGATATATTCGCACTTTCATTCCAATACAATAATTGATTTTGAGATACGTTTTGATTGCGCGTCACTCTTAATTTTAACAGGTGGGAGAGTAAATAACGGGTTACTTGGTACGAGTCCCCTGGTGATCGTTTACAGAAATTACCCAACACAATTATAAGTTGTCTAAAACGAAAACATCCTTTTCCGACACTGAACATACAAGCTGTGTGTAACTGTGTTATATCTGATTGTTTTGGCGCTGGTCGCGGCCATCTATTTACGATATAAATGTAATGACATTTACATAGGCGAATTGAGCGTAACGCAATAAACCATGGGAGAAATGCGTAATACACTGGTGTTTTTTTTGAGCATGCGCATTATTCCGGAAGCAATGAACATTGATCCGCGAAATAAAAATGAAAACAGTTATGTCCCCTTGTAACTGATCACTCTCCTTTACATGTCTTGATACCTCTACCATTCGCCTAGTAAAAGACAAATGTAATTTATATTTCACAGATTCAAGCATGATTCATCCTCGATACTGTAATTATTTTTCTTCTCGCACGAAAGTTTTTTTTTCAAAATAATTGATAAATACAGACTATAAAACAGGCCGTGATTATTTGTCCGAACACATCATCATATATTTAGTTCACCCAAAACAATGAATATTACACTATAGATTAAAACAGTGAGTGCAAGTGCCATAAGATAAAATAGGATGAAACGAAAATTGATAAATTACGTGAGCGATTTAACATTGTCATCCTATTCCCGTATCGATGAGACCGTGTTCATGCTCAAACTCGGATAATGTGCTCAAGTCCAATTTCTTGTTCCTGTGTCCAATTCATATAAATTCACATTTTGTAAATAATTCTGGAAGAATGTTGGATAGACATAAAACCTTATACTGTTTCTAATGCGTACAATTTACTTTTTACCGTGTTAAATGATTTAAGCAAGTAACAAAAAAGCCGGCATGAGCACAAAATCCATGCTTGAGCATGAGTACGGTGTCATGAATACATGGCCAGGACATCTATGTCTGCCTGGTCGAAAGACACATAAACATGCAAGATATATTTATTCAAAACAATTCGTGGTAAGAGTATCCCGCAATTTTACTTATTCTAACTAGTCTCTGTCTAACATACAATGGGTAACTGCGTCTTCAAATGTACCCTTGTAATGAGCGTAAAATAGTTCACAATCAGGTAGGGTAATCCACATTTTGGAAAACAGCTTTGCAAGTTATAAAGAATGATGGCACTTTGAAAAGTATCAGGTCACCTAATGTTTCATTTCAGGATAAAAAAAAGACATTTAAATCTTAAAAATTCACGCGAATGATCTAAACAACATTCCAGTCATCCGATTCTTTACAAAGAAGAACATGTTTTGTCCGAACACAGGTAACAAGTGTATGCTTATATTATTTATTAAATAGAATAGCATCGCAAATAATCCATTTGAACCATAATCGTTAAAATAAAGGTTCGTTTATATTAAGCAAAAAGTATAATACTTATATGATTTTCTAAATCATTCACGTAATCAATAATCGCTTTAAAATTGTTTAATTATGGACTAAATGTTGTGAACACATAATGTTTTCAACAAATATTCAATAATCTGTATTTACCATACATAACAATGAAACAATTTCCTAAGTACAGGTAATTTAACAAAATTTAATTTTTCAAACTGTTGTAAACGCGGATGTTGAATTTCAAAAACACTGATACAACTTATAAAGTGTATTGCATAAATTTAAAGCCTGATATGATGTTGTCCAAACATCATTGATGAGAAGTAATTAAACCATATGTCATGTCACTCACCGGCTGGCCAACAAAGAAATATCACAGAAACGTGTCTCGGTGTCTATCATTAAGTTTTAGAGAATTATTATATAACTAACTTCCCAATAAAAAAACAAAACAGTCAAATATTACGTGTTGAAACTCTTATTCATGATTTCCCGATACTACGTATACTATGTGGCTCACTATCGTTTGTCAACAATAGCAGTTGTAAATTAATTGTAACTAGGAAGCATACGCCAACACTGCTGAGTTGCCACAGACTTGTCACCCAACTGTTACTTGTTCGATAATGTTTGAAGGTGTTATCACTCTCAATAGAAACAGCCCAGCATTTACCCGTGAGAAAACTGTGTATTTCAGTGAAACCATTGATTGAAGAGATTCTAAATTATGACCGTATCATTCCACAAAAACAAAATGGTAGGATTTGACAATATATTAAATGCGCCTCCTCTCTCGGTAATATGATGCGCGGCAGTTTCTTAAACGATTTATTATTAGGTAAAATACATATAAAGATTTGACATGTGATAATATTGGGCGATTGTGTAGTTATCTGTAATCTCACATATTTTAGATACAACAAAATATACAGGCGTCATTTATGATGGCAAAAGTACTACAAAATATTAAGTGCTGAATACAGAGACTGAATTGGGTTCCTTGTCGACGTCATATCTCCTAAATACTTTGGCAAGTCGGTGACGTTATATGCTCTGACCGAATTGGCATCAATTTCCGATGAATACAACAAAAGCCCTTTTCCATTCGTGAGATAAAAATAGTGATAGTTATGTCATTTCAATCGTTGGATTCCCAAAATGTCCACTATTCAGAGCACAGAGAAAAAAAATCTGATTTTACAGGATCCTAATCTCGTTTCTTACGTACATGCATTGAGAAACATATGATCTAATATTTCCCTGAAAATGTTCATAACTATAGGAAACAAAATCAATCGTAAGTGAATGAAGGAAAAAACACAAAGGTTATTGCTTGTTAGCATGTTAACACATGAATTGAAATTAATATGCACGAGTGTGTCTACTTGTTTCAGTAGTCCAAAAAAATGACCTGATAACAAATTGTTTACAAAACCAATAATGTGGTTATTCATTTTCCAGATTTATTTGATATTAATCTTTGTAGACAAAGCTAGCCGCTGTAAAGAAGGACATGTCCATTTGTCACAGCCTGTGACCAATATATGTACTTATTTCACAATAAGATTGTTTGCAACATTTTGTCAAAGCCTGTGACCAATATATGTACTTAGTTCACAAAAATATTGTTTGCAACATGTTATCATGTTAACTTTAATGTAATATGTGATGTTTGTGATAAAGTATAGAATGTTCTTTTATTCACGGTATTTTGTATACTCATGAATCATAAGAATCATTATCATATGTTTACTAATAATAACACCCTGTTTTGTATGTATAATATGTCTAAAATTGCCACAAGTTGATATCAGACCGGGTGTTATCATATGTTTAGTAATAATAACACCCTTTTTGTATGTGTGATAAGTCTAAAATTTCCACAAGTTGATATCAGCACGGGTGATATCACACCCCCTTGGAGTATCACACACCCCTGAAAGTGATATCACACCCCCTAGAAAAGTGATATCACACCCCCTCCTAAATTTCCGGATTTTACCGTTTCCGCTTATTGATGTCTGCTTTTAATGTAAACAAACGAATTGCTGGCATGGAATAAATACCATTTCGTGGAAAATAATTTAAAGATTGATTTACAAAGCCCTCCCAAAATTTCCGGATGGCGCCGCTTCCGGATTTGGATTTGCTTATTAGTGTTACATGTACACCTGTCGTCTGCGTAAACAAAAACAACGATGGCGACTACTACTGGCGAGGAGATTTTAGAGGAATTGGCAGCAAGGATTGTTGAACTAGATGAATTAATCCTGGAAAAGGAGACGAAACGTGTAATGGATACAGGGGGGCGATTTAATAATGCTACTAATGATACCGAAGCTTTCGTGGAAAACATGAGGAACAAGAATACTGCGAGAGAAACGCAATCCGACATCAAAATATTCACGGATTATCTGATGTCTCAAAATAAGTGGAGATCTCCAGAGTCTATTGACTCGGTTCAGTTGGCGGATACATGGCCAGGTTCTTCATGAACGTCAGAAAAAACGATAAATCTGAGTATGAACCATCAAGCCTGAGGTGTTTACAATCCAGCATTAACCGTTACCTACAGGAGAAACACTACGACGTCAATATTTTGACCGATATCAAATTCAAACATTCTCGTGATGTGCTAAGTGCCAAAATGAAGAATTTGAAGACTCAAGGCAAAGGAAACCGCCCAAATGCTGCTGATTCACTAAATAAGGAAGAGGTGTCAATTCTGTATGAAAAAGGGGCGCTTGGTTTAGGTAGGTACAGTATTCAAATGAATAAATAAATAGTTCTATAAGCTTGGTAGCTGTTGGTTCTAGTTAGTATTACTGTAATCATTGAGTGAGGAATGCCCAATGGATATTGAAAATTGTATTATGTTTCACTGTTTTATACAATATATCGACTTTAAATAAAATCTTTTGAGAGGGTTTGTTGAACAAAATAACATCAGCCTAACTTAGATGTTTTATTTTTACAGGGAATCCAACCTCACTTAACAACACCATATGGTGGAACAACACAACCCATTTTGGTCTTAGAAGTCGCCAGGAACATATCGATATGAAATGGGGGGATGTCTGCCTAAAAACGTCGTCAGATGGCCAAGAATACCTCGAGTACAGTGAACGGTCGACGAAAACCAGGACAGGACAGGGAGTAGGGCGTCCATTCAACCCAAAGATGTTTTCTGTAACTGGTTAGTTGCAATATTATTTCTTTTTACATATGAAGCAGGAGATGTTCACTCATCCGGAACACCTGGCCTCAACTTTGTTTTCTTGTGAAGGTTCATAATGTGCTCTAAGTTGGTATCTTGTAATTTTGTTTCATTATTTTGTCATGTTGTCTGTACTCGATTTGTTTAACATATTATAAATGGTTATTGATTGTGTGGTATTATTGTTTATGTCGTTGATATTTTTATAATTTCAGATGATCTTAGATGTCCAGTAGAAGTCTACAAGACATACAGAAGTCAGAGACCAGAAGCAATGAAAGCACCTGAGTCACCTTTCTACTTGGCGGTCAACACAAACTTGTCTAAAAATGAAAATGCGCTTTGGTTTGTGAAACAGAACATGGGTAAAAACAAACTAGGTTCCATCATGAAAGTGATGTGTGAGCAATGCGGTATTACAGGTAGGAAGGTCAATCCTTCCGCTCGAAAAACAACGGTTACCACACTTGTTCATAATGGTGTCCCTCCAACTGAGGTCATGCAAATAACTGGTCACAGGAACATTAACTCTATAAATCATTATAGTTCAGCCTCTTTAGAGCAACAGAAAAGAATGTCAAACATCCTGTCAGACTTATCGGTGGGGCCTAATGGTGATACTCGTCCATATCAGTTACAAAATGTGAGTCTCGGGGACACTGACGTTGACAATTTAATTAAAGCATCCCAACAAATAGAAGAAAGAGAAAACAGGAAGTGTATTGAAGTCGCTTTACCCGTACCCACTGTATCCGATTATATCCCTTCAATAATTGACCTACCATTTACCATGACAAATTCAAAAAGTTCCTCCTTGTCATCCTCACACAGTCTTTTTACAGGGGCAAATATCCAGGGAGGATCATTCACCATAAACATTGCAAGCTATGAAACGCCATTAAAAAAACGTCGGGTGGCGATGATAATTCAGACGGTGATTGAATTGAAGTGCAACGACATCCATTTTGTTATATTGTTAAAACTGTTAATAACCATGTTATTCTGTAGGAATTTAGGAATTTCTAATTGTTGCCTTTTTATAATAGTTGTTACTGTTTCGTTTATATACATCATTGTTTTTGTTATCATTTTTATGAATATCAGTAAATTAAATAAAACATTAAGAAATGTTTTGTTTTTGTAAGTTTTGTTCATTTTAAAGGGAAAAAAACATATGATAAAAAGTTTATGATATGACCATTTTGATATCACACCCCATATCAGCCCTTGAGTCCTGATATCAGCCCTCGGGTCTTCGGCCCTCTGGCTGATATCAGGACTCTCGGGCTGATATGGGGTGTGATATCAAAATGGTCATATGATAATATCTAAATATCACACCTCCTTGGAGTGATATCACACCCCATAGAAAAGTTATATCACACTCCTACCAAATTTCCGGATTTTGCCACTTCCGCTTATTGCTGTCTGCTTTTAATGTAAACAAACGAATTGTTGGCATGGAATGACTTCGGTTTCAAGGAAAATAATTTAAAGATCGATATACAAAGCCCCATCGAAATTTCCGGATGGCACCGCTTCCGAATTTGGTTTTGCGTATTAGTGTTACACTGTCGTCTGCATATTTTGGACCATTTTTATGAATATCAGTAAATAAAATAAAGAAATATTTATTTGTGCTTTGTTTATTTTAAAAAGAAAAAAACATATGATAAAAAGTTTATGATATGACCATTTTGATATCACACCCCCAATCAGCCATCGATTCCTGATATCAGCCCTCGGGCCTTTGGCCCACTGGCTGATATCAGGACTCTCGGGCTGATATGGGTGTGATATCAAAATGGTCATATAATTATCTCTAAATATTATATCTTGGGGTGTTAACGTATGGAGGGATATAACTCTTACTTCTTAATGGACAGACATTTTGGACCAATTGGATTTCCATGTTTTATTTGCCTCTTGTATTACCGATTAGCCGCCAGAAGGACCAAACAGCTGTATAATGCAGTGCATTTCATGATCAGTATACTAAATCATTTACCACATTGACCGACAATAGATGTTTTACTTAAACAGCAATGCTGATCACAATGTTAGATATACTTCCTTTTTTTCATTTAGCGTTAACCATGATAAAACAAGATGAAACCAATTGATAAAAACAGAAGTTTTATTCTTTATTCCTCAGTCTGTCCACATGGTTATCATCTTATTTGCAGTGACGACAGTTAAGGAACACACATTTAAAGTATGAACAATCGAATTTCAACCACACGATGAAAGATTTTCCAAAAGATCGACTGTCCATAATTTTGTATGGTTTTTTATTTCAAAATTGTTGTGTTTAAAGTTTCTTATATTGTGTGTTATCAACTGAGGTTAAATTTTGGCCCAAAGTGTTTAAGTGGTTGAGCTTGAAAAATGGTGAAGCTACATTTTTACTTAAAAGTACACATATTTGATCAACATCACATAAAAGAAATACACGTTATCTTAATAACAATAAACAGACACGAAGTGGTTTTAAAACATTGAGTCACAATTGTTCTTTATCAAATTAATGTATTTATGAACTAGCTTATTTATTTGATAATAACAAGTAGACATATCGGTTTCATGTAGTGTTTTCAATGACAGTGCCTTCATACAAACAGAAACACTTGGTAAGATTTGATAGGACATATACTTAACACGGACAAACGAATGTCTATCTTGTTTTATCATATAAGCACACGGTTACAAGTTATAGCTACCTCCAGATATCACTTTAACACTACCAATTGGATGTCAGTAAGCTTTGCTTTTTCCAAAATTTGTCTAGATTAAACTAGAGGCTCCTGTCGTCGACGACTTAATGACAGTCATATCGAAATATTGATAGCTCTCTATCCATATTAATCTTTCTTATTGGTTTAAAGTTTTGTTTTATAGTGTCCTTTGTTCTTTATAATGTTTCAAGATAAAAAACAAATCCCCAAAGTGGTTTTTTTCACTCTTTGAAGAAGTTAAACATGTCCTTTATCAGTGGTTGGTTTGTAAACAGGAGATAATCTTCACTCTACCTTTTCACATGTTTCAATATTTTGTTAGAATTATTTTGTTTCGCGCACTTGCTGTGTAAGTGCGGATCTCACCATTGTATTAAATAGCTGTTTAAAGGTTATGTCGTCTAATTGTATTAAACATTTTCCAAGTAAACTGTTTGCCTGCCTTGTTGTATATATGTAATAATGTGATACATTAGCTAGTTCAAAGGCGGAACCCAATCTATTGATAACTAAAGATATAATTGTGCATATGATTTTCAATGATAACACTTGATTTATGCATTTTTTCAAAGGTATCTGTTTAAACTTTCATTTGTTCATATTTTGTCATAGTTAACGCACCGATTGTCCATGTACATATTTCGTACTCTGAGTAATGTAACTACAGCGTCCGCGTGTTATATTCTATGCTGTGATGTTATGTCTACAGGTGTATTGTGGTGTTTTGCTCGTTTCGTATGTTGAAACGTTGGTATACCATACATTTGTTCATTGGTCAGTGTTACGTCAAGTTGTGTATGCGTTTCCATTGGTTCGTTCTGGGTGGTCAGTTTTGGCGTGTGTTTCTTTGTTGGTTAATAAATCACGCTAGCACCTTTTGAGGACTCAAAGGTGACGGACGGAGAGATGTAATGTTAGTGTTTCTTTGTCTTTGTGTAATACCCAATGTATATGTATAATGTGTTTTATTGGAGTGATAGTTCTATTTGGATATAATCTAAGTAAGGATAATTTATGATTTGTTGAATAAGAAATTATATATGATTTTTGTATTTTTTATATAAAAACGTATTGGTCAGTGTTACGTCAAGTTGTGTATGCGTTTCCATTGGTTCGTTCTGGGTGGTCAGTTTTGGCGTGTGTTTCTTTGTTGGTTAATAAATCACGCTAGCACCTTTTGAGGACTCAAAGGTGACGGACGGAGAGATGTAATGTTAGTGTTTCTTTGTCTTTGTGTAATACCCAATGTATATGTATAATGTGTTTTATTGGAGTGATAGTTCTATTTGGATATAATCTAAGTAAGGATAATTTATGATTTGTTGAATAAGAAATTATATATGATTTTTGTATTTTTTATATAAAAACGTATTGGTCAGTGTTACGTCAAGTTGTGTATGCGTTTCCATTGGTTCGTTCTGGGTGGTCAGTTTTGGCGTGTGTTTCTTTGTTGGTTAATAAATCACGCTAGCACCTTTTGAGGACTCAAAGGTGACGGACGGAGAGATGTAATGTTAGTGTTTCTTTGTCTTTGTGTAATACCCAATGTATATGTATAACGTGTTTTATTGGAGTGATAGTTCTATTTGGATATAATCTAAGTAAGGATAATTTATGATTTGTTAAATAAGAAATTATATATGATTTTTGTATTTTTTATATAAAAAGTAATGATGAAGGTCATGTAATTTGATTTTTTGCAAAGGGCGTTATTACGTTGTGCTCATTTTACTAAGGTTCGATACATTTATTCAGATGGCTGTATTTAAATTACAGTATATCGCATTTGATTGAAAAAGGCGTCGTACATGTACGTATAGGTTGTAGCCACGGCCTTGTGCCACACGCAGGTATGCTATAGCGTTTTTATGTAAAAGTATAAAGTAATTGTCCAGTAACTTTGTGTTGATTCAAATCTTGTGGTTTTTTTATTCAGCTTTTTTTCGATAATCACATTTCTACACATAATTATTTTGTATTTCATGGTAAACATGAACATCAATTCAAATGTAAAATAATCTAAATATTACATGAATCCAGTACAATGCAATATAATTCATGAATATATTAAAAGATCGAGAGTTTGTTTCTAATCTGGACTTATCTACTCAAAAGACTTAATTGAATAATTGATTGATAAAATTCCATTATTTTTTATCTTTGTTTGTTTGTTGTAGTGATAGTTATGGAGACCCATGTCTTCTATTTTATAAAAATAATTAATGGGTTTTTTTGCTTTCAGCAATTGTTGGAATTGTATTATTTAATTTACACAAATATATATAGTATCTCAAAATAAGTAATACAAAGTTGATTTCATCTCTGTGTTCTTTTTCTGTTACACCAAAAATGAAGACTGTTGGGTGTCTAGATAAGGTAATTTGGTACTTATTTTCTAACATATCTATCAGCAACAACCAAAATGTTTTGACTGTACTACATTGGCAAAATAGATGTGTAATGATGTCTCTTTCATTTGTGCAAAAGGTACATCACTCAGTTTCACATAGCTTACATTTCATTAATTTTGAGTTGGTATACATTATTCTGTGCACAATTTTATAATAAAAATGTATAAGTTTTGTATCATCAGTAATCTCCCTTGGTACTGAGTTGAACAATTTCCAAGTCTCTTCACTTAAATTATTATGGAGGATTTCTTGCCATTTCCTTTGACTATTTGTTGGCTTTCCTTAGACTGTTTTAACAAGAATACTATAAAAGTAATTGGTCACTTTTTCATTTGTATTGAGAAAGTTTATTAATTTGAAAGGAATTGTATGTATTTATCCATTTACATTTTGCAAAATATCTTTGTAATTTCTTGGTATGGTATTACTAACTCCATAGTAATCTACACAATTCACATTAATATTAAATATATGGGAAAAGACTACATAAGACATGATATGATCATCTATATCAGGACTAAATTTGAAGTTGAGTTGAGTAATTATACACATAAAATGAATATATATGGACTGACAGGGTCCTCCAGTCTTTCTTCACGGTGCACATAAACAAATTCTGAACAATGTCCATTATTTATAATACAACATAAATTGTTATTGCAAAAAGATTTAATCCATTGAATAATGAATGGCCCAAAAACCATAAAATTGTGGAGTATCAAAGCGAAAAGTATATCCCAAAGAGTCAAAAGCCTTTTCAGATTCAATCAAAAGAAGTCCTGGAATATTATTTCTTTCTGTATATTCTATCAAATTTGCGATTAGTCTGTACATTCTCCAATATATCTTCCTTTCAAAAACCCTTTTTGTGTATCACTAATGAGGATACTTTTTACATTCTGTTTGCAATAACAGATGAGGCAATTTTGTAATCAACATTTAACAGGGTTATGGGCCTCCAGTTTTTCAGAAATAATTTGGACTTCCTTTCTTAAGTATACAGGTAATCATACCACGTCATTGCGAAATTGAAAATTGACCATCTGCATGTGTGTATATCTGCCTAGACAAAATTGTAAATTCGATCAGTGTATCCATCAACGCTGGATAATTATCATTTTTTTTAAATACAGCGAAAAGACACTCACAGTACTCTAATTCACCTTCTAATTGATTACTTTGTGCAGCTGACAATTTGTTTATAAATGGATTCATGTCGTCAAAAAATACATGTTGAGTATCGCCTAATGTTTTTAGGTGTATAAATGTTCATAATACAATTTCTGTTCTATCATTATCTCTTTTTAATCAATAACTTCCTGTCCATTTTCCTTTATAGGTCTAGGGATGAGTTTATCCTGAAAATGTCTTTTTTCAAGATTACAAAAATATTTAGAACTTTATTCCCCTTCTACTTTTCACCTTGATTTTGCTCTGAAGATAATACCAGTTATTTTCCTTTCCCCGATTAATTTCAATTCATTTTCCACTTCCCCAATAAGATCTAATTGTCTGTTCTCCGCTTTTTGTATTGTTTCTTTTCACTAATTATTTTTAATAATACCATTTCCTTCCCTGAATAATTTCAATTCATTTTCCAATTCCCCAATATGGTGTAATTGTTCATTCCGTGCTTTTTGTAGTGTTTCTATTCTACATTCTAATTCTTTTTCTTCCTGATCCCTTTCCCTTTTTTTGCAGAATAGGCAATAGTCTTCCCCCTTATTGTAAATGTTATCGTCTCCCATAATAACCTATATTAAATGTTAATAGTTCCCTGTCGTCTACTTAAGTGTTTTCTGCATTTCATTTATACATTCTTTTATTAACTTCACATATTCTACATCTCTCAATAAACTATTGTTAAATTTCCCCTTACTTGTTTGATGAATCTAATTATTATTGATATTGGACAATGGTCTGACCTGTAGCTAATACCTACCCCACTCTTAATAATAGATGTAGCCAAATCTGAAGAAACTACAAATTAATCTAATCTTGCTTGTTTCCTATTTGGACCATGCCAAGTATATAGGTGTATATCTGGATTTTGCTCTCGCCAAATATCTATGAAATCAACATTATCAATGATATCTATGATTCTATCGTGATTCATTACATTATTTCTACTTAAATAATTGTTTGTATCTTTAACATGGTTTAGTGGTGCACACGTATAATGATAGATGTTTTCTCACACAATTCAAGTTAATGAGAAAGTTGATTATAAAAGTAAACATCTGTACAAGTTGGCCCATATACAGCTACTAATGTTAAGTTCTTATCACATGAAGTTAAGCGAGTAAATAAATACTTTCGTTTAACTGGACCGGAAGATACCCTTCTACAATTTACACTTCCAATTGTAAGGCCTTCAGCCATTTTCATATATATAATCAATTGGTTTTAAAATAATAAACAAAGAGACGTAGATATTCACATATACATACATTATTCTACAATCTGCAAGGTATATAAAGTACATAAATTTTCCAAGTAATACACTAAGTGGTGAGATGTAACTGTAGGAGATGTGATAATGCAACAAACCCCTATAGAAGAACGAGCCTCCATTGCATACTCCAGGCTAAAAATCATTTCAATTGTTATTTATTAAAAAAAAAAAAAACACTCGTACAAAGTTTAGTTACATTCAAATATTTGAATTGAAATAATTATTCGACAGCAAAAAATATTTCATTTGGCTAATAGCGCCAAAGTGTTTCCATATTCTGATTTTTCCACCAAATAATTGCATTGATATCTTTCGAATAGCAATTAATTGAAATAATATAAAAAAAGTGTTGTCAATTTCCTATAGATTTACACACTAAATCAGCTCATTTACTTACAAATTTATTTATGCATGCTAATAGTTTCATATGACTAATTAATTTAATAGAGTTTCAATTATCTAAAATCACTACAAGATTTACTGCAGTTTTCAAATATGTAGACCTATAGGTTATTAACGGCGATACCTGTCGACTTATTATCACCTGAAATAACAGAAAGAGTGCTATCGTATCAATTCATTTGGCTACAACGTATTGGAGTTTTCATTTTCACAAAATAGTAATTAATTCCTCCAAACGATCTCACTTATATAATTACAATCCACTAGCCAGAGCTGCCACTCCCCGCACTTGCGTTAACAGCAAGGAACGACAGCCCTGGCCCGAGGTTAATACAACATACTCATCGATATTTGTCAACCATATTTTTAAACACCCACACAAATAATATAATACATTGTAGTTTTTATCTGTTAACATCGACACCCCGCACATATTGTAGACTACTTCCGTGTCGGCACAAGACCGCAGACTAAGTCAGTTATCACATGTAACCCACTCCTGTCCCCTCCCAGAGTTGTCGTTCCCCGCACTCACTAACAGCGTAAAGTAAGTGTAAGGAAAGACAACTCCGGGCAGAGATTGGTAACTCACGAAGAAGTTGTCGCCCCCTGCGCCAAAGTGTTAGGAACATAACAATAATATGATAATTTGACATGTGTGTTAAATTATAGTTTATATACAACTGTTATTGCTCCCTTGCTTATATATATCATAAGTTGTTTTTCTACAGTGGAACAGTTAGATATATATGTGTGAATTTACTTAAGTTCATTTTCTTCTTTACGTGTGGTAATTCTTGTATCTAGGTTTTTCATGTTTATGTTTTTATGCAAATTAGGGGAGTGTTAACCAATCAGCATTAACCCCTAGAGGGTATGTGGTATTGTCAGTGCCCCTCATTATTGATTTCTGGCGGGTGTTGGTGTGTTTGCTTTTCGCGTACCCACCCACCTACCCCAGCTGCTCCCCGAGTTTGTTGTAACTAATAAGCTATATATGTTTGATTATTTTACTTCTGCCATCTTTTGTATTCTTTTGTGATGATCATGAGATGTACTGTTTTCATTGAAGTTTCCGTTGTTGCTTATACTATTGTATACAGGGTATCTTGTGTTACCATTGGGTTACTCACTCTTTTATCCCTAGGGTTTTAATTCCTGGGGAATTTTCCCCNATTCCCCCCCCAATACTTTTCTGTAATATTATTTACTTATCTGTTGATAATTTTACTGCTTTTGCTTTAATTTTTCTGTCTTTTCTTGATATTACTAGGCTCTTGAATCGCTCAGGAGTTTCGTCTTGCCAGCTCTTAAATCGCTTAAGTCTGGTGGTCAGTTTGCCTCTCTTGAATCGCTCAAGGCAAAAGCTCTCTGCTTTTAAATCGCTTAAAAGTTTTCTTTACTACTTATATATATGAGTATTGTATATGCAGCTCTTGAATCGCTCAAGGGTTTGCTCTAGATATCTACATGTATACTGTCTTGAATCGCTCTAGAATGTTCACTAGATATTTACATTTGGCCTGTCTTGACCTGTCTTGAATCGCTCAAGAGTTGTCTGGCCTACTTAAAATATATTGCTTAGAATATATTTTTTTCCTTGTGGCCTCCTTATTTGCTTAGGAGGCTACCTCGTCAGTACACTTTTGTTTTTGTAGTATTGTATATAGTTAGCTTATAGTGTTGTGTGAGTAGCCCCTGATACGCCAAAGTATAAGTTTGTATTTTCTTTTTATCTTGCTATCTGCATCATTTAAATATCTCGCATTGTAATAAACAGGTAAACTGTTGTTTCATCGTTTTTGTTGTGTAAAAAAATAATAATATACAACAATTAATATATCGCCCTATCTAGCTTACATATGCCACTCTAAAGCGTTTTACAGTACATAGATATACAATTAATACAATTAACATATACATTTATCAATACAATTCATTAATCAGAACGACAACTCTGAACACATACAAACCATACGACATTCCTTGATATCGTTGATGACCTGCATTTAAACTGAATATATACATATTTCATTCAAAAAGTATATGTATATATATATTGTAAATATACAGGTATGATTTAGGTATTAAAACATAAAACACACAAACTAAAACCGCACTTTCCGCTTCCAATTCTGCACCATTTCAAGAACGATTGCGGTTTACTTATAGTTATCAATACTACCGATCCCCAACCCGAGCTGCCGCCCTTTCCACTCGCTCAACGTGCAAAGGACGACAACTCTTGACAAACATTTTCATATGCATGCATCGAAAAATAAAAGTTATGGTGTTTTGTTATACAAAAAGCAACAATAATCATAATTTTCAGACCCACAAAAAATTATTAACAGTTTTAACAAGATCACTGTTTCTACAATTACAAATTAAAAAACTTCATCGATTTCCACTCGACTCTGTGTTTTACTAAGAAAAAACATGTTGTTGTTTCCTTTTAATTACCGCACTTCGTCTCGGTCAAAACACACACAAAAAATAACATTCACAAAATCCACAACATATTTTTTGTTACTGACGTAGATCATTTTTTGCTACAAGTTCAACAAATGGATAATCTTTTTTGTGAACAAGTTTGTATTTTGAGCGTTCTGATGGCTACATGTCCCTCCGAGCCTTCAGTAGTTCGCCTCGACGTTTGCTCGCCGATGGTGGCAAGTCCGGCACCACACTATACCCGGAACCGGAAGTGAGGGTGTAAGCTGCCTCCACTACCTCATCCTTGTCCAGGAGACTACTAAGTCGTTGTTTTTACCCTCACTGCCACCTGGAGGCGGTTCACTGCAGTAAAAAGCATGCACGTTGCTTTTTTCTCCGACATTTTTAACTTTTGAATAAAAAAGTCCCGTACTTGGGTGACTCTGGGTTTCTCCCGTAGAGCACCGTCAATTCCCCGAATCACCAAATTCCACTTCGGGACCACATAACCAGCCGTTCTTGCTCCTCCTCGGTTACCTTGTCTGTATTATTTTCAAGATTTGGTAGAGTTGACTCAAGTAATTCGCTAATGCGCTCATTTGTGTTATTGGCAAACTGTTCTAGCTTGGATACTGTATCCTTCAGGACATGCACATCTATGCTAATGGCAGTTATCTGCACGTGTAATTTAGCAAAGCACGTGGCAATATCACTGAAACCCGTAATTGTATACATGTCAGTAACGGACTGTTCCATATCAATAGTTTGATGCCAAACATCTGGACACAAACTGTCAATAATTGTCAATACATAAGTTTGAGAATGTACAATATGTACTCAGTGTTCGGACAGTATAGATGCACGCTGCACGCGCACCTGTACCTGTATGTCTATTTCCACGTGTACACCTGCGTATCGGGTGGGGTGTTTACATAGCAGGTGGAAAATACATCGACTACAAAGGTCACTTTCAGCTCCTTTTTTCAAATGTTTGACATTTAAGGTTGTGTCATTATATACAAATATGGACGCGTATGCAGGTTTTTAGGCATTTCCGGACAGTTTTTGATGTATTATCGACAAAATTACACAGAGGACGCTACTCAACATCTTCACTCCACAGCCATGACCCTTGACTCGTCCACGGTCATATATATGGACTCCAAAGTCAAATCTTGAGTTTGATTGTATTTCGTAAAAGTTGTAATTGTGATTCGTATCGCCTTATCGTTTATGCTAGATTAGTAAGGGTAAAGTTATGTAATCGTGTAAAAGTTATTTTCCTTGCATTTGTAAATGTTAAATATGACATTCATTTAATAAACTGACTGTGAATAAAACCCAGAGGAGTTGACCTAATCTTTCACAACGTAACCACCTCTACTGCAATAGTTTTACCGATATTTTTTCTCATTTCTGTATTATTGGTCCTGTGCTAGGATATACTCCAATAGTGGCGACAAAAAAACAACAACAGATATTTAGCTTCGTACTCGCTGAAATGTAGCGTTGCATGTGAATTGCCTTCCATCATGACGTCACAAGAAATATACCATGACGTCAGAAATCCCTTCCAAAGGCAGATTTGACGGTATCATCCTTTGATTTGTTTATGGTTCACAAAATGTGGTTTTCTTCATGCATGTGTTTGATAATCATAGGACACATTAAATATTTAACCTTTTCAAACTCCACACGAGATCATATGAAATCGGAACTGTTTTGACATCTCTACGTGTGCGAGGTCCTGCATGGATTTACTTTGCTCTAAAATATTTTCCAAACGTTTGAATGATTTTGTCTCACTGCAATGGTTCCTTTACAGTAATTCTGTTTACCTATAGAGACGTAGATACGTGGAGTGACTATGGATTCCTGATTTGTTCTTAAATATTTGTCTGATATCATATCTAAATTTCTCATTGAATTACTTTTGTACTTATTTGCTCTTAAATCTGTACACTTCGAGTAACGTAGACTCACTAACAGAAGTGACAACAAACTCCTGTCTGGTTGGATGAACTACTACACACCAAGGATAGGAGATACTAGATAGATTGGATACCAGTATCCTCCTACGTAACCCGTCAGGTGAAACAAGGTGAACATTTCCAGATTGATGTCCACATACATATAAATTGTCATCCCGGTCAAGTCCAAAACCTCTAGGATCATTAAGACGGGGATCTCTGTACCTGTAGACTTCTACGTCACTGTCCAGTCGTCTACACACCACGTCATGGTTATCTTTGTGATAGACAGTGGCACTCGAAAGAGATGTGGCGAGAAATGCGTGATTTCCACCTTTCTTTATTGTCTTGGTGACCTTCCCATCTACTGTCATAACCTTCACACTTTCCAATGTATCGACCAGGATGTTGTTCCCGAGAAATGCTATACCTACTGTTCCACGTGAACAGCTGATCTTGTTGATCAAGGTTAGCTGACCATTCCTTAGTTTACACTTCAGTATTTCATCTTTGTTTACAGCCACAAACACTTCATCATCGGCACGTCCATGTACTATATCTGTTGGATACCCATCAATGTTTAATTCTGCCACGTTAGAATACGTGTCATCAAACAGTAAGATTCTGCTGTTCCTGCTATCTGTCAGAAGTAATTCATTGTTGTCAGTAAACATACCTCCCGCCAACGAAGGTGTAGGTGACACTCCTAGTGTACTACTGTCTACCGTCTTTACACAAGAGACTGAGCCGGTCCATACATCAACCGCTGCCTTTACTGGAGTTGGCTGGACGGTCAAATACTGCAATGAACCCGTGAGGTCGGAGGTCGAAGTCGAGTCCGCTAATGTTGAAGCTGAAGGTGTCGAAAGCAAGGTCTCAATCATTGTGCCTATACATACATTCGCGTTTTGAGTTACAGCTGTTATTGCCGAGGTCACGTCAACATTTCCCAAAGTTGTCATTTTCATGATTTCGTCAATTATTGTTCCTAACTTGAGTGTGATGTCAAATCTATTCGGTTGTTTCTTTGTGTTTTGATCCATACGACGGTAATGTCCTGGTATTTGATTTTTTGTTTGTTCTCTTATGAAAAACTTGTGACGTTCTGATATCTGTTGATCTAAATGGGACATCAATAGATGTGAATTTTCCGCATTGGTGTTGAATGTGTTGACACACATCCGTCGAGCAGATATCTTTTTCCTGAGTGCTTTGCACTTATCCGCGAGGTCTAACTGGTATGTTACGTTGAGGTTATCAAGCTTATCTTTAGCTTGCTGTATCCTGTTCGTCATTTCCGCCGACACTTCCTTTTCTGTGGAGGTAAGCAGGGTCATCCCCAAATCGTCATCGTCTAACATCTTCTTAGTTTCCTCGCTCAACTCCTTCAATTCTGTCTCCCTGGTGTGTTGTCCGGTCTTAGTCTTCCTGACCACATCCTCTATTGGTTTAACATTGTTACAGTGCCTGTGTGACACCGACACACAGACACCACAACACATGACACTGTGGTCTACACAATAGACATCCAACTGCTTTCCATCGTGGCTGGGGCAGATTTCGTTGACCATAACATCGCAGATTCCACCGACAATAGTGGAAACGGAGACAAGCCGATGGCTTGATGATGCCTTGCTCCGCTCATGATATATTCTGCATTGTTTACAGAGTTTTTCACCACAGTCGGTACACCAGACCTCGGCTGGATTGGATTCTTTGCCTCGTTGACATGGTGCACAGAGATGAACATCAGACGTCTCTGCTGTTATAGGGTTAAGGTACAAATTATTTATTGGGAAACATTCCGCCCATGTACTTACATCCGTACTGACGTCACGAGGAGCACTCGGTGCATCGCAGACCGGACACGGGAAGTAGTGCCGATCCTCGTCTGCTGTGACGTGTTCCGCTTCGACGTATGACGTCAGACATCGGCAGCAGAAGGTATGACCACAAGGTAGCTGCCTCGGATCTTTGTAAGGTGTCGTACAAATCAAGCATCTGTATTCTGGTATCGGGGCGGCTTCTGCCATGTCCGTAATGGATAGTGTTATGCTGGTTATTCTGTCATATACAAAAGAAGTATTAAGCTACATGTTTTCAATATATTTTCGCTATCATACATCGTGAGATATGGTCATAACAAGCCGATTTTCGGAATTATGTAAAAGTTAATAATGTAAGCAGGAAAGCTTATGATGTGACACAATCCGCTGCTCAATTATGTATTCGTACAAAATATACACTGTTGCAATGTATACATTCCAATGACGTCACGTTGTTGACAGCCTTTCTGAGCCTGCTTGCATGTAGGCTGTTTATATTTTATGATGCTTATATTTGTAATTTTGAGTGACAATGTAACTAATATTACATATATAATATAATATTAATCAAAAAAGTTTGATCTACTGTTATTGTGACGTGAGGACGATAAATGTCTAGAGCCCACCAAGTTAAATCTATTGAAATAACCAGAGATATGCCAACACAAATATACATATAGGTGAGGAAGCTACTCGAGAGTACCAAATATTCGGTGCAGCATTAATTTATTCCTAGCGCACCTGATAGACCGAATACGTAATAAATGATTAAGCAACAGGAGCGTGAAAAAGAACGGCAAGACTGGGACTCGAACCCGAGAGTTCAGAACTCTAGATACACGATAGCGTATAACACGTTTCATTGGTATATTTAGCTAGCACCAAATGTAATAGGAGAGGAAACTGCCAGACTCGAACTCGAATTTGGGACCGCCGAACTCTAGACAAACACGCTTTGCAATCTGAAATAATGATCGCTTACGATCGTCTCAGTCCAGCTCCGCTACCTTTTGATCTAAAATGTTTCGGACAACTTAATGAATCCATTAATATATTGAGCTAATCGACGGCTAATTAGGCCTTGCTTACAATATTGGTGATGTATTTATTTTTATCAATTTTTAAAATTAAAAATGTTGTTTCTGTAACTTTCCTTTTGTTTTGAAGATACAAGTATCAGCAAATCCCTATGTAGTGTATAATCCAAATAACACGCACATGGTGATTACAAACAAGAGTACCGCGGGGCGGAACAATATACGCCCGTCGAATGCCATATAGTGTTATATACTTTCTTACATTGAAATAAGATCTGCATCATTCAAAGAGTGGTTAGCTGACATGCTATAAAAATGTAGTAGAAAATCTCAGAATAAAAAAATCAAATACTGAAATGAACAAAGGGCGATAACTTTTGCAAAAAATCTTTGAATCAAATTTCTTTTAAAAAAACCCACAACAACACATCATGATTATTTAGCCTAGAAGTTTCAAAGAAATCTGTCAAAAAATTTAGGAGAAGATCTCCGGACAAAAAATCAAATACTGAAATGAACAAAGGACAATAACTTTTGAAAAAAATGTCGAATCAAAATTTGTTTAAGGGAGACACAACTTCATATTATGATTATAATGTATACCAAGTTTCAAAGAGATCCGTTGAATAATGTAGGAGGCGATTGCCGGACAAAAATCAAATACTGAAATGAACAAAGGGCAATAACTTTTGGGAAAATTGTCAAATCAAAATTCTTTTTAAGGGAGACACAACTTCATATCATGATTATAATGTATACCAAATTTCAAAGAGATCGGTCGATAAATGTAGGAGGAGATTGCCGGACAAACAAAAGTTTTCGCCGGACGGCCTGACGGACGGACAACGCCATACCATAATACTCCCGTCAAATTTGACGGGCGTCTAAAAGAAGTTTCAACGCTACTATGTCCTGTCACCGCAGGATTAGCATTAAGGTACACCGCATGTTGGCTGCTATGGAGCTGGTGGTACTATTCGTACAATTATGTTTGAAACGGAAGGATGACATTTACCCCAATACGTATTCTACAATACTGAACAAATAGCACTGTCAATGTCAGGTACACATACCACACCGTAAGTATAAGCTTCATAATGTACATAATCGATAGCTTGAATAGAAAACCTCAATCATAGGAATTCTACCTAGATCATTGAATATATACCATATGTGTAAACAAGAATGATTAATATAAGTTGAAATAACTTGATTTATAATTGTTGTAAAATAAATAAAGTTTATATTTAAATACCGTATGTAGCGTCAAATACAAGCGCTTGTCCTGACTTACTTCTATTACTGTTCCAGGGGAGGTAGCTCGTCAAATAGTTAATATCACGTGTCCAGATTACTCCCATAACATGAGAGGCCGCTGGTCGGCCTTTTTTCAATCGGATATGATTTTGCCGACTGCGACCTCTCATTTCCGAAGCACTAATTCTTTGATGCAGTTTCCGCCCGAAATTCGGGCGGAACAAAATCGGCTTGACAAACTCACTTAAGTGGTTAACAGTTCATGACAACGATGTCTACTCACGGTTTATATTATATAAATCTCATATGTATGTCACAGACACAAATATATAGTATATTACGGAATAGAACACTCAAAATACATGTCCATGTCGTTGTAGCACATCTCTGACCTACATTTAAAACATGGCTTCTGGATTAATACAAAATAGCAGGGGGGATTTCAAACGGAACGAAATGATACGGAGTTTTTTTGTATTCCGCTTGTGAAACATTACATGTAATCCATTTTTGTATTAACCGGAAAAATCATGGCAAATGCTGTCTGCTTCGCTTCGAATGAGGAAAAACTCATTATTTATGTCTTTGACACGCAATTTTTCTCATATAATCATGGATTTATGGAAAGGAATATTAATTGGACCCTTTTGACCATTTACATGTATGTAAACACGATATACTCTTTCTTAATCCGAACTTTGAAAATGTGATCGTCAGCATCGGGAAACTCAGCTATGGGCAGTTAGAGGTTACGCGGCGCCTGTCAAAAGTTTTTCGCCGTGTAAGACCTCTAACATTGTTGGAGTAGTGTCCAGATACAACTACTAGCACGTAACACATACACTATAAGTCTGATGTGTCATTTTACAGCATGTTCACCTTTGTGTGTATGCATGTTTAACACGTTACATTAGCACATATGGCATGATACAAACATTTACGATCGCATAATTACCGCTACTACTACATGATGTATATCTACACATATATGTAGTATATTACATTGTAAGATCGGTGAGAAGCAAAACTTTAATGACATGTACGTACGTGTATGCATTACGATCAACATCAGACACACATGCCACACTGTTAGTTTAAGCCTCATAATGGACATGATCGATCTTTTTTTTATAGAAAACCTCAATCAAAGGAATTCTACCTACATCATTGAATATAGTCAAGGCTTACTGATGTTCCAGGGGAGGTAACTCGTCATATAGTTATAATTAAATTGTTGTGCATTTTCACGTAAATATCGACTTAGCAACTAAATTATGTATTTTGTGAAATTAATCAATACAATGAACATATTCACATGTTTGAATGGCAACGGGAAAATCATTAACAGTAAGAACACATTAAACAGTCACATTGGCTGCTGACGTCACGATATCGGTGGCAATTTCGATTTTTTGTTGTTTTCGAATGTCTGTAAATGAAATTTGATGTCGGCATTTCCTTGTTGCCATGGGCAATCCAGATAACTGTTATCTTCTATTGATTGTTAATGAAGCAGGTTGTGAGGTATAAGTATTCTTTGAAACTCTTCATGTTACACAAAAAACACATTTAAACTACCGAGATCCCTTAGCGATGAAGTCCCTTGATTATTTAAGAAACGTTGATATGTCATGCTACTTGATTAGAATGAATTGTTAAAACCAATGTATTTTGTAAGCAGGTAATGAAGCATTAATGTTTGTTTCTTACTAATACCACATGACCTTAGACAGACTCTCAGTTTGTATTAATCCTAAGATTACAGAAACGAAACAACCTTACATATAAATTACTGTGGTGTATATAGGTGTAACTAGACAATGATGTTGTACATATATGTAGCTAAATTGTACATGTGTGTATATACATGCTATAAACCTATACTGGACAGTGGTGTACATATGTATATAGTTAAATTGTATATATGTGTGCATACATGGTATATAACTATACTGGTGTACATTTATGTAGTTAAATTGTATATGTGTGTAGATACATGATTTAAACTTATACTGGAGTACATAAATGTAGTGAAATTGTACATGTGTTTACATACATGTTATATAACTATGTTTGTAGTTGAGTAGTACATGTGTATTCATACATGTTCTATGACAATACTGGAGAACATGTATGTTAAATTGTGCATGTTTGTTCATATATGTTATATGATCATACTGGAAAACATATACGTAGTTAAATTGTACATGTGTGTACATAAATGTTATATAACTATTCTGGTGCACATATATGTAGTTAAATTGTATTTGTTTGTACACACATTTTATATAACTATAAAATTTAATATAATTTCTAAGAGAAAAGAGTCCATCAATAAAAGTGGATTTCCACATTGGTTGTGTATAGTAGATTGACTTATAAGGATTAATTTGATTTTTTTTTAAGTTATGGAGCTATAACACAAACAAGAGGCCCAAGAGGGCCTGTATCGCTCACCTGAATATTTAAGCAGTCATAGCAAAATATTCTCATTAAATATTATATATCACTAAAAATATTTCCCTCGCAAACTTTGTTGGCTCCATCTGTTGAAACTACCAGTAAAATATTATTATAAGATTCTATGCTTTTTGATTCTTCTTCAGAAGTTGCTTGACATATTTTTCCCTGTGATCTTGTAAGTAGGTCAATGTCATTTTCCTTCTCAAATTGGTTAGCTCTATTCCAAAAAGCTACCAGCCAAATCTTATGAATCCATTCCTTTTAGTTCTCAAGAACAAATCCATTAAAATGTTGTTGACCTCTGTGACCTCTAAAGTAGGTTGAGGTCATTTTCATTTGCAAACTTTGGTGAGCTCTATCCCGGGAAGTCACCAGCCAAATATTATAATTTTATGCCTTTTAATTCTTCAGAAGAAGCTGTTTGAACTGTTTGACATATTTGAACGCTGTGACCTTGAAAGTAGGTCAAGGTCATTTTCAT